TGAATAATAATATATCTATAAATATTTAGTTATTTCCTCAAAAACATGTGTAATATTTTATTCAAAACAAATTTTATATTGCCCCAGTACCATTTCACAGAATTTGTCTACAGAGATTTAATGCCTGTTTAAACAAAGTGTTAGATATTCCCAGAGCTGACATGACTATGCTGACTTCTATTTTTACAACATTCTATCAATAGTATTCAGACTGCTAAATCTACCCACTGTAGCTGTTCTTAAAGGTATTTTTCAATTTTTTTTTTCAAGGTTGTTACCTTATGCAGCTGATACAAATGTGAATTTAGCAAACAGGAAATTTGCTAACTGTATTTCTCTGTAGACTTTCATCACAGCTGTGTGAACTGTGTTGGAGCTCCTTTTACAACGGTCATGGTCTATCAATCTGCTGAGGGAAGACAGCAAAAATTATTTCATGCCTCTTTACAAATACCAAAATACTTAATCTAGCCATCTTTTCCCTAAACCTCTATATTTACTTCTATGTTCCTGTTTTTTTTTTCCAGAAATGGGAGTGCTAACATCCTTTCTAGTGCAGCAGATATTCCCATGATTGTGGATGCTATCACTTATGGTTGGGGTATGTGCTTAGGGAAGTGATATGTCATGCTATTTAGAGTTTTGCTGAATTCTTGATCCCACTTCATCTTCTTCCAGAAACTAATTTAGCCTGTGCTATCTGTTCAAAATTTGCTGCACCTCTGCATCATATCAGCACACATAAAGGCAGCATGGACAGCAAACAGGCTGCACCTGGGCTTGGGCACTTTACAGGTGAACACCTTTAAGGAATCACAAGTGTGTTCCAAAGTGCTGCATTTGCCTAATGACTACACTTTTGTGCACCAATTAGCTTGCTGTAAACAGAGTTTATCTTTAGGATAAGGAACTTTTCAGGTGAGTAAAGCTGGCATGAAACTTCTCTGGTCGACCATTCTTCAAGAGGTGAATGTAGCAGCAACTTGCAAAGGGAGAAAGATGATTTATTCTGGAGAGCTGCTTGCAGGCAATGTGATGTCTTTGGATAGAGTAGCCCAGTGACTCACAAGGATGATCCAGCCCTCAGGAATGCCAGGAGTGCAGACCTAAGTGGGCAGTGTAGATGCTTTTAGACTGTGCAAAGGGCCTGTGCTTGTAACACAGCCTCTCCCCTTGAAAATTGGGGCTGCAAGAAATAGCAAATACCACAGCTGAATGTTCCTAAAGTTGCCTCATCCCATTGTTAAAACCATATCTGCTCAGAAGAGTATCTAAACATATACTGTAGGACTATTTTTGCTTGTCAGAACTGCAAAAATACTCTTTCTCTCGATATTCCTCTGTGTGAATGTGCAATAGACAGGATAATATGCTGAGGAGGGGAAAGAGCATAACCTAGAGGTAACTTGGCAACAGTGGAGACAGATGGCTGATCTGAAAGCATCAGAGGTTTGCTCCCAAAGTACCTCCCAAAATAGAGTTGGTTGTAAATTAGAATTGCCCTTTACAAACAAGGTGTATTGCTCTAAAGTCTGGGCATCTGATTACGGGTGCAGATGGCCTGATACTGTGGAGATTTAGAGGTGTAAAGGGATACATGACAGGTAAGTGCCCCAGGCTCATGTCTCAGTGGCCTAAGGTTACGCAGACTATATTCAGTTTGTAATTCTTTTTGAAGAAGTATTTTTTTGATAAGACTACTAACAAGGGTGTCAATACTGTTGTCTTTTTGAGTGCGCAAGTTATGGACACTGTTTCAGTACATAATAGGTAAAGAACAACAACTATTTTTATATGAACCACAGAGCAATCTAGGATATTTTGAAAGATCATGTTCACTGTAGGTCTAGAATATTTAAATATTTGAAATATATTATGTATGTATAGGTGTAGGAATCTAGATATTTATAAACTTCTTACATATATATTGATGCCTTAAGTCCATAATGATTTTTTTATTTTTCTACCTTATAAGTTTTATAGGTAATAGAAGTAGATTTTAGAAACCCTTTCTCCCTCCTCCCTGTAACACCCCTTAGTTTATACATTCCTTAAGCCTCTCACCCCATTCCATACCCCCATATCAACCCTATTCCCATATCCAGTAGAAGATGTTTAGTCTCTTAGTCAAGGCAAGCCTTGTTTGGAGAATGCTTGTATCTTGGCCTAAACCGCAGGACAGAGTCAAGGAACTAGGTCACTCTGCTCTCTGTACCCCGAAGATGATGAAGAATGATGAAGAGGGGGTCCCAAAAAGCCCCCCGACCCAATTCCAGGAGGTGGGTCAGGGGGTGGACCAGAGCAAAAGCCACGGGGAGGACACACTTGGGATTGGCCAGATATTATTATAAATGTAACTTCTCGGGCACAGCCCGGGCGCGCGCGTCGTGTAACATCTTTTTGCCTTGGCATAATTAAACCCTTTCTTATCTCACCCCAGCTAACGGCTCCTGAATTTTTTTGTAGCACCAGCTGAGCAGGCATCAATATACATGCGTTTACAGAAGTTTACAAACACATAGAGATACATACACACATACACACAGATTTATAAATACATATATGCTCCCACATAAAATTATTAATGTATGTTTAGTTATGATGCAAAACCCACAGATTTTACTCCATCAATATATTAAATGCATTTATGTATGTTGTATATTTATGAAGCAATACAATTTTCCTTGCATTAAAGACTTGATTTTTAGCGCAAATAGTCACAGTTTTAGCACATTATTGGAAACTTTATGGATCCTTCTGAGCTGTGGACATCTGGGTTAACAGGAACTGTGGCTCCTATAACCTGGCTTAACAGATGGGGGATAAAAAAGGAAAACCTGTTTCACTAAAATATTTAAGATGTCTAAACCACTCTTAAATAGCTCTCCATTAATTTATGAGACACATGCAAAATATATAGTGCATTTCAAAACATTTCTTATTCTATCCTAATCCCAAATTCAGGGCAAATGAGCTTAAATAAAGTCACATATAACCTTGTTTGCCCATATATATATGGGTTTTATATGCACATTATACACACAGTTTTTTATTGGACAGTGAGATAGCAACCATTTAAAGGTCCAGTCCTGGACTTGGAGACAATACAGGTGCATTACAATGCAATATGTAGTACATTGTCACAGTTGTTGTGGCCTTATGAACTCAGGTGAGAGACTTCATTCTATACTTGATTCCCTTCTAATCTCTTGCTTCTCATGTCTATTTAAAATTAAATAAAATAAAAACAAAAGAATGAAGGTCAAGGATCATCTCCTATAAATTTCTGTATTTCATATCCAAAATACAGTATAGCAAAAAGAATACTTTACTACCATGGAGAAAATGAAATGAGTTGTAATTTTATTTCTGGAAAATATTTCTTCATATCTGCAAAACAGTCTCTGATTTTCATCTCATGTTAAAACTTTACAGTTAGATTGATATTGTTGAGACTGGGCAAGGGGGACATTAAAAGCCTGAGAAATATTACTGTTTACTTTTCCATATTTATTCTTATGATTTAGATTTATTTAAGGTAGTAGGAATTATTTTCAAAAAGGAAGCTAACAACCTCTGGACATTATTAATGTGTAACATTCCAAAAATATTTCCTAAAATATTCTTAAGATATTTCTTTGATAGTAGACTAATCCTTTTTATTCTTTTCTTATTTAGCTCAATTACCTTCAAGAAAAAAAATTAGTATCAAGCAGACAAGTACTTGGACAGAATACATTATTGATATTAATGTCTATGCAGCATGAGAAAAAGAACAAGGATACTGGGGGTCTCAAAAGGATAAAAAAAATTAGTAACCTCTTAGGCTCTAAGATAATGTCTTTGTATCTCTATATGTATTTTTGAAACCCTTTAGGATGAATTATTCTTTATAACAAGGACAAGGCAAGGTTTGCAGGTAGGGCTTGCATGCCCAAAAAGCTGTCTAATTTTTTTGGCAATTCCACATGATTAATGGAAAATGGTACATCTCCTTACAACTTTTATCCTGCTGATATACTTAGCTCATTGTAGCTCAAACAGAATGCCATTGTACAAGAGGTGGTTGTTTTAACCTAGTGATATATGCAGTTTAAGTATTTCAATAAGTTTGAGTTTTTCCATGAACAGTCTGACAATTGAACACAACATCATATGGCTAAAAGTAATTTTGACAGCAGGCAGCAAAGGCTTTCTTTATTTTAGTTAGAACCACCAGAAATACAGAAAAGTTTATTTCAACAGTGCCTTTTTTAACTGAGATCCAATTCTACTCTTAGTGTCTTACGTAGAATTGCTGGTCAACAAAGATGAATGTACATTTTATTCAAAGAACTTAAGGAGACCTAAAGGATACTGTGATCCAGCACAATGACTTTCACAGCTGGAGCCTATATGGAAATGCTAAGACCACACTTTAATTCCCATTGCAGACTAAATGCAATATCCCTGATCCTGCACTACTGAAAGCTATGGAAAAATTTTCATTGGCTTAACTCAGGATTGGACTAGTCCCTGAATCACTTGCGCACTCAATAAGTGTAATTTTCTATACCTATGGGTAAATAAAAAAAAAAACAAAATAACACAACAAAACCCAGACCCAAACTGTTTCAGCAGAATTCTCTGTACTAATAGAAACAGGTTAGAACTGTTTAAACTTGAATCTGAGAGGATTAACTCCCAAAGTTACTTGGAATTCAGAGGATGACTCGTTTTCCCACAAATACAGTTTAGTGCTTAGTGAAAACATACCTCATTTGAAATTCAGTCTTGTGATTTTGTAACTAACAAAACTAGTTTTCTAGTCTTTTATACATATATATCACATGCAATACTTACATCTCCATTTTGTAGTCAAATGTATAGAAGCCAATAATAGAATTTTAAATTTATTTAAGACTGGGCACTAAACCAGAGGTTCTTACAGTGGTTACAGAGTTCCAGTTTATTAAAACACTGCAATTTGTTTTAGGTTTGTGAGAAAAGTACTCGGGAGGAGTGGAGGAACAGTGTCTTATTTTTTTAAATGCTATGAAAGTTTTAGCCCTAACTCTCCATGCATAAGCAATACAACAACCAGAAAATATTTTGCTCTTGAACAGACAGATGGTATTTAATGTCATCTGATATGTTGGTAATAGTTATATTCAGTCTCTTAATTTTATTCTTTTTATTAACCTTACATATATATTTCCATTATCTATACATTAGAAAATCTGTTGCTAACACATGTTCAGAAGGCAGATGCATTATCTGCAGTAGCTTGCTTACATTGTTTTGGAGCTATTAGGCCTAAATTTGCCACAGCCTATGGGTGTATGCTGAATCCCAAGCTACCCTTTCCAGACACAATTTTAAAACATTGCTTTAAAAGCCCTGGGAGGCCCCTGAGCCATTCTAGCTTGGTTTAATTCTTTTTTTCTGTATAGCACATTTTGTAAGAATGTGCCCCAGAGCAGCAAACAAAATCTATCAACAAAATCCATGGAAATTTGTCCTTCTATTCACCCTTAGACTTGTTTTGACATTTGTTTTATTTTATTATTATTTTTTAAATTACTTAACCAATGGTGAATACAGTTTTGTGTGTTCCCTTACAGTTGGCTGCAGTCATTCTTGATAATCAGTTACTGGTGTAATAGCTCTTTAATTTTACGGCATATACAGAATTGTAACAATGTATTCATAAATGGGCTCCGGTTTTCATTTAATACTTGAATGCCTCTGAAAGGAGGAGGCTTATAATACTCGATAGAGTCAAGTAAAATTCAAGATTCCTCATTGTATTAGTGCTGTGTTGCAATCTGGACAAACAGAAGTCCTGCTGTCCTTGTCCTGAATATGATCAGCTGTTACCAGATGTCTGAAAAGCCACATGGTGCCTTTACGATGCAGACAAACATCTATAAAAGGGGAGAGGCCACAACAGCATCATCAGTCATTCATTTCAAGCAAATGAATATTCTGCTCATGGTTGCTTGATGTTGCAGTTATAATCACACTGTTGAAAACTTTTCTATGTTAAGCAAAGATTAAATATAGAAAGCTTGTCATTCTGTGAGTCATGTGTCAGTCTAAAGCACGATTACTTTCTGTATTGTTTATCTGTAAACTTGGGCTCTGTTTGGAGCATAGGGTTGAGCTGTGATCCCTTCTAGAAGGCAGATTCTCACCATATTTGCCGATTTAATATGCATCCAGATGCTCAGTCTTACAGTCTGCTAGGTCAGTAAAAAAAAATTTGACTGTCATATGCAGCAGTATGTCATTTTGTATTTTCGTAAACGTACTGTGAACGCTTTAGACCAAGCTACAAAAAATTAAAGAAAAAAGCAATCAGGTAAATATTGCATGGGTCTCTGAATATCTATATTACTAAATGTAAAAGGGGGAAGGAGAAATCTTGAGCATAAAATCTGCAAGGCTATACCGATGCCAGGAAACTTAAAATGGATATATCATTGATATATGCACACAATTGTTAAGCCCACAGTGTTGAAGTGTTAGGAAAGCACATCCCATCATTAAGTTTATGCCAGCCACCACTCTGCAACAGTGGTTTACTATGATTTGGTCATTCACATGTGCTAAGGACTCTTTGCAATAGGCAATGCATTATGGCAAGCCTGTTTGGGAAGGTGGGAGAGTTAGGTCGGTGTCTATAACTCATGCCATGCTACTCAGGCTTAGGGACAAAAAACAGTCCATGGCATACAATCATGCAGTGCATGAAGTGCAGCTGTTCACTCTGCTCAATTGTTATTTTGATCCATATCTTAGGCTTGGTTTGCTCCAGCTAGATCTCTCCAGGAAAAATCTATTGGGTAATATGGGTTTATAACATGTATTTTCCAGATGACTTCAGGGCCAAGGATCAATCCCTGGCTGCCTTTATATATTAACTTAAACAAAGCCAAAATGTAATGATGGTAAGCCTTTTCTGAAGTCTACTTCAGGCTTTGTATGATAGGTAGAACTGGAGAAATTTGGAGATACGTCATCTGTCTTCTGACACGTTTAAACAAGGGTTTGCCAGAATTCCTTCTGTTAATGGAATGCTCAATACACACTTCTTTTGTTGCTTACTTGTGACAAGAGGATTAAAAAGGTAGACAAGAATAACACAACCCCATGCCTGCTGTCCTTTCATAGCAGTGAGCTTTGATAGATTTATCCCACATCCACTAAGCCATTTACCCAGAGACAATTCAGGGGAAATTTAATAAAGAAATTGCTCCTGAGTCGTCCAACATCCACCATACCAGATTCAGTAGTCTTAACACAGTACTGTTTTCTGTTTGTTGCTTGAGGCATCAAAAAATGCATTGAAAAAATGGCACAAAATTTCCCATTAAATGACACACATTAGGAGAAAAAAAAAACAAACTACAATATAGATTTTTTATGTGAAAGCTTTTTATATACATCAGAAATAAGAAAACCATTACTTTGAGCCGTATTCTAACCTCATACCATGGCATCATTACTTAACTTAATCTATATAAACTTTAAAAATATTACTATGCTTAGATTCAAATAAGCTATACAGACTGGATTCACAACCTGCCAGACACATCCATCTGAGGAAACCAATCAATCAATCAACCAAACCAACCAAACAAAGAAAACTAGAAGGCATCTGCAGTAGCCATCTCCCAACAAGGTCTCCCTTGTTCTGGTGGTAGACTCAGCCCAGGATAGCAGCAGTCTCACTTGTTTTTCCACTTTCCAGATTCAGAAAACAGGTCAGGTGCTTTAAATTCCATAGTCTGGATATATGTTTCTCTTTAAGGATGGTTTCAGGTCCATTCATAAATGACAAATTCATTGCTGTATTTAAAAATAAAGAAATTAAAATTTGAATTTTATTTGTACTAGATTAAATTTCATGCATCTAAAATTAATGCAACATATGAGATAATACTTCCTTCTCTGCAAGTACTGTAATCCTGTAACCTATGATACAATAGAATTGGTAAAGGCCACAGGCTTTGCAATAAGCTTGAAAGGTCTTAGGACTGCGGTTTGTCAGGATTCCTTTTTCTGACCTTTTCTTGACCTGCCTGCAACTTTGTTTTATTTGGTTTTGCTGTAAGAACAATTTTTCTTCTGATCAGGTGGCTGTGGCTAATTTTTTTGCTTATCATTATATGGTGCAATCAAAGTTTTGTAGATATAGTAGTGACAAATAGTTTCTTTCTATGCAGAATGAGATGTTTATGGATCTAAGATAATGATGTAAAAAAATGCAGACCTATTCTGATAGCAGAATCTTTGAGAAGTGGGGATGCAGCACAGAAAAACACGCAAGTGGGATGATAAATGCTGGAATACAGGAAGGCACTGCAGACCTCATAACTGTAAATAGCTCACCATGTACAGTTACAGAACTGCATGTCTGGAGTGGGACAAAGTTGATTTTAGGGGCAACAAGAAAAAAGAATGAGTATCTAACATACCTAAAAGCTATCACAGATATTACGATCAGATATTAGATGCAGTTGTAGACCAATGAAGAAAGAGAAAGTTATAACATCATTTTGGCAAACATATTAAAATTATTCTTAGTTAATCCTAGAGAGAGGAAGAAGAAAACCTCAACATTAACATTAACAATATTTTTCCTGGTGAAAGATTCCTGCTGCTGACAATTCACCCTACACCAGCACTAGAATGAAATCGCTCCTAGGACTCAGAGGAGCAGGGGAAGGGATAACACCAGAAAAAGCATGAAAACTGTGTCTATAACTGTTTTAACTGTATCATTGCTATCAAAGAGACTTTTTTTCTGTAGAGAAGCATTATTTCCTTTCTGTAATAATTTGACCTGAACTAGTAATATTTCCCGTATTAGATTGTTAAAATAACCACTAGACTAACAATAAAATATTTTTTTTATACAGAAGTTATGTTTTCCTCTCTCCCATTAAACAAGCTATATTGAGCAAAGTCTGAACTGAAAGGAAAAAGAGTGGTGGTAAAAGCCTTCTAGATTGCTACAGCTGCTTATTGCTCAAATGTGTTTTACTTCCTCTTTCAAAACTGACTAGAGAGAGAAAAGCAATCCAGCCCATCTTAGTTCCCCAGATGCAAAAACACTTAGTGACATCTGAGAAGCCCTGGGGTATCCAACATACCTGTAAGTTGACAAATAGGACATAAAACCTATGCATTATCCATATTCCCTTCTGAACTGTCAGTAGGAGGCTACCTGGGATAATCTAGGGAATCTCAAATGGCGTTAGAGATCTCTTGAAGCTGCCACTAGATCTGACTCAAAGGACACCACCAGAAATTTAAACTCTCTGAGTTCTGAGGGGTTTTCCATATAAAATTTGACATGATCTTATTTTATCTCCAGATCAAATATTAACTTGAAAAAGACTGTATTCCGATACCACTTCAGACTGAACAAAAACCTATTGAGGAATCCATATGGTGCAGGTAGCTTGGTGTGGAGCTGCAGACCTGCAGGCTGAGGTGGGAGTCCCAGGCAAGAGGCCAGGAAACGTCAACTTGTTGCAGAACAAAGAGCATGGAGCACCCAACTTGGGCTGTTTTTTTGTTATTTTGTTACTGCACCAGGATTAAATTATTTTGAGGATCTGAGCATCTGAGGCTGCTATGGGAAGCCTGGGGTTGAGCAGGTAAGGAAACCTGGTCTGATTGTGTGAGTGTGGGCTGTGAAGCTGCCAAGGGACCTCAGTCCCAGCTCAGGTGGTGGGAGTGTGACTGCCAGTGGCTCCTGGATGGTTGGACAGGGAAGTTTTCTTAATAAACCTCTCAGGAATGTTTTACCGATAATTATGGTCTCATTCCACTGTGGAATTTATGTTATTTACCTGTAATAGTGATATTTGAAGTTTGCAAAACATAAACTCCTTCACAGAACCATGATTTACCTGAATACTAGCCTGAACTTTTTCCAAATTTGTATCTGAACTTTAACTTCACACCAGATTCAGAAGCATCTTGGTTTCTCTCCTTAACTTGATTTTCCATGATTTTAAGTATGAGAAATACTGCTTGTAGTGAAGAAACTAAGTATAAAGCAAATTATACAGGATGTTTCTGAGGCAATCGGTACTCAGAATCACCTGGCTGAAAGTGACACCACATGTGGTACTTATATCTTAATATCTTTAGAATTCAAAAAGAAAGGACTGCTAACTAGTTTAAAAATAATCAGAAGAAATGTTTTATTTTTTAAACAACTTATTTAATATTTAAACATTAAAATTCCTATTTTGATTGTAAATTTGCATAATGACTGGATAAAGATCGGCTTTATCACTTCTTTCATTTATATTATGTTAGTGTTGCAGAGACATGACATAATTTGTAGCATGATCACCACAAGCAGTTAGCTCAGAAATGTCGGTTTAAAAAACCACAAAACTTCAGTTCGAAATACAATTCAAAGCCAGTATGTTGTAATGTTCTTCTCCATGTGAACTTTCAGATTTTTGTTATGGGGGAAAAAAAAGGAATAGATTCTCTCTTAAAAAGTTTGTTTCATATTTTCAGGTCAATCCTAATTTAGTCCATTCACTGGCATTTTATATTCATATCATAAAAAAATATATTTAATATATGGCAGGAACTCTTTTCAGAAGCATGACAATGATAGCTGCCTGATTTGGTACTGGAGTAGAAGACAGACCCAGAAGCCTACATAAAAATGGTCTTAAATAAGAACTAATATTATTGAAGATGAACTTGGAACAAAAAACATTCTTTATCCCATTCCCTCATACAAAATAGATTTTAATCAACAACCGTTACTTGCAGGTTAATGGTACATTTAGCTAGTACTTTCTGGAGTAGAGTAAGTCCCAAATGGAGTCAAGAGAAAGGAGACAGTCTGGTATGGACCTTGCTGTGTACCAGCTCATCAGTGAAGCATTGAGAAAATTTGCAATAAAGACAGTCAATAATATGGCAAATGACATATGCAGACACTGATCTTGGCTCTCTTAAGAGTTACTCTTTTAAGGTTCCCAGTTTCTCCAGTCTACTAGGTACATTATTTCTTTTCTCTTGTAACAGGGATACATTTTCTTATTCCCCTGGTCTCCATGCAGAACTTCAAATTGGAAAATCCAATTAGAGATATAAAAGTTTGATGTTAAAACCTTAGACTTGTCAGTGATTTAATTCATTTCTTTAGAGACTTATGTATATATTGATATCAAAGAAGCAATTTATTTCTTGAGCTTTATAAAAAAAAAGAGTATCAGAGGTATAGGACAAGCATTTTACTAGGGTGTAATGCTTCTAGCTTCAGTACATATTAATGGCAGGGTTTACTTTTCAATACATGTGACATATTTTTTGCATATTTATCTGCCTTCAGGTAAATCATTAAATGTGTTTTGACATCCTGTATCTTTAAATTTTCTTACATTGTTTTTGTCTTTTCAGTTGACAGACTAATTGATTCTCCTTCAAATTTTTCCAAAGACACTATTTTTGCTAAAACTATTTTTCAAGGTTTTATATTCAAAAACATTTAGCACCTCAAAGAGGAGAAAAAATGGTCTTTATGTGATTTTAACCTGTCACAACTACAAAAATATAAAAGTCTTAGTACTTCTTAAAATTTAAGGCCATGTTTAAATTTCAGGCTATAGATCTATGACTTATGAGTCTTACTCCTTTATATTATGAATGGCTTAAAAACGTTCTTTCAACTATAAATTACTGTATCCAAGATTCTAGCATTTTAGCCTGTATTAGCGAATGGTTTACATATCCACTGTCCCTTTTCAAACATTTCCCAGTTACGTTTACGTACATTTAAAAATCTAAGAGAATATAAAGATTTACATGTCACGGCAGAAATCACCAAGTTGATGATATGAACAGCAATGGTATTTTTCTTAATTGCTCCTGGCTGTATTGCATCCTATCTCTGCAGTTTACAGTCCATATCAGTGTTTGAGATGGTTTTTGGAGTAGCTAGATCATTGATCTGTTTTAGTATGGCAGTGTGGCACAGCAGCTTGTTATCCAACGACATGTCTAGACTCACTTCCCTACATATTTTCACATTTTGTCTTCATAGAAAACCATTTAAACAAAGAAAAACTAAACCTAGATTGCTTTCTAAACTATTCTAATTTTATTGCTTACTATATATATTTTTGTCTCCTCTAATGTTACATGTGTTTTCATCACAGCACTGATCATTTTTGATCTTTTTAAGCTTTTTTGTTCTTGCTGCTTATAATTTAAAATTCATTGCTTTTATAGGTAGCTGAATATCATTAACCTACTAGTTTTAAAGCTTAAAACTTTTTCTGTGCTATTGGAAATTTAAAATTTATTTTTCCTAAAATCTTTTCAAGCCAGCTACCTTATTTTCACATAAGACTCCTGGTGATTTTTCTATGCTCTCTTCAGCCTTCATCATAGAACTAAACTGTGATGAAACTCGTTCCTTATTGGATTGAAGAAGGATTTTTCCCATAAGTTAGCCAGCTTGATAAGAGCTTTAATACATTTTCCAAGTGTGTTGTTAAAATAAATGCTTACACTTTTTGATATGATTCTGATCAAATAATCTTTCTGAAGGATTAAAAGCCAAAAGTCTGTAGAGAGAGAAAAAGGAAAGTCGGGCAGATGAATCCTCTGACTTGCAAAGAGTGAGTGAAATCTATCTTTTAATTCTACTTTAATAACTCCCTTCTGACTTTTTCAAAGCTCTGTATTTCATTAAAGAAACAGTTCACACAGGTGTGGCTGAATAAACTTTAACAGTCTAAACTAGCAGGAACAGTATAGATGCAAATACACAGAAATTACACTGAAAGAAATTCTGAGAATCT